ATTTATAGCAAAAAAAAACGTTCTCAATAGAAAGTTAGCTGAACATATAGAAACAAGCTTAAGGAATTTTTTTTTTTTTTTTCTACTTTATATAGTCTATTTATTATTATTATAGTTTTTATCAAGAAAGTCAATAAACTAATCAAGAATCTTTAAATGCCATTCGTTCAGTTGAACAACCTCCATTTAAGATCTAGATGGTTTCACTTTACCCCACTGCATTCCATTCCACGCTCAACCCATGCTTATCGCTGCTGATGCACTTCAAATGATTTCAGCTGCTGCTCAATATTTTTGTAAGGCAATTCCAGTATTCTCTTCTAGCTTTTCTCTACATTCCCACTTTTCAAATTACAACTCAATCTCTTATAGCCCACATCCCAATTCATGTTGCTCTCTCACTTTGTTCCACTATATTCCAACATTTCAAAAGTTCCACGACATTCCTATCAGAGCTATCAAAGCAATCACATGCCACTATATTCCATTCATTGAATCCGTCACAGTTCATTATATGCCCTGAAAATCTATGCTCTATCACACATTTAATGCCTGCTGCCCCTCTCAAGCTCACTCTCCCTTTCCCTCTCCCTCTGCCTTTCTCTATCAGACACTTTACAGCTCAGTCTGTCAGCAGATTATTAAACTATCATAATCTAGTTGCCGCTGGCACTTAACGCGTCCTGCCTCTAGTTCAATTACAATCTTATCTGTTCATGTTCATGTAAGATTTACCAGCTCACAGCTATCACAATTTGCCGCGCTGACCGCTTGCATCAAAAACCACCCCCCATGCCCTCCCCCTGCCACACGTCTATCCGCCTGCTAACGTATCTGTAGACTAGCTTATCTGCGTGTATTTGTTGCAGTTGTTGTTGTATTTGTATATAACTAGCGTGTGCTTTCTACAAGTTTTTAATGCGGTAATCAAGCGCTTGTTAACACACGCGGCGTATGCGCAACGTTTCACGATAAGCGCTAGCCAAGTTAAAAAAAAAAAAAAAACACACAGAAATTATGCTACAATAAATTTCACCCGGCCGTGAGTGCCGACGGAGCTGACGAGACGAGGACGGAGTGTGGGTAGAGGGGGAGTGGGGATCCATGGGGTTTGCCCTGTTCGATTGCCGGGTTTCCGCTTATTGATTTATGGAACGAGACGCAGACGGTGTCGAATCGACTTGGCCGCAGTCAAAAAGCAAAAACTAAAAATGCACAAAGCAAAGCAATTCTCTAGCCACCCCAAACACCCACAACCACCCACAGTCCCCCAACACTCAGACAGTCATACAGCTACTCTTCATTATGCTGACCGATTATGACACTTTTTAATCGCATTTTCTCGTTTTGCCTTCTGCCGTTTTTATGCTATCGATTATTCGGCCCACTGCGAATGCCCTAAACAATGGGGCAGGGGTACAGTTTATAGCAAAATATATACATATATATATATATATATATATATATATATATATATATATATATATATATATATATATATATATATATATATATATATATATATACATCAAATATCAATTATTGCAGCAATATGCTTGAATTCTGATTAAATTGCGTGGAAAAACGGTAAAGTTGGGGTCACATTATTTAAAAATTGATATTCTGCCCTGCAAACCTTTTGCCCACAGGCAAAACGGCCAAGAGAGTGGAAAATTGTGAGAATGCAGTTAAAGTTAAGCAACAGCCACGAAGTTGCCAAAAACTTTGCTTGGCCACAAGCCAAAGGGTTGACATTCCAATAAGAAGATTTTTTTATTAACATATTTTCAAAGACTTTCACACTTTGGCCTGCACTTGAGCGAAACTGTGGGAAGTTAAGAAACTGATTAAAGATAACATCGATTTCGGAAACACATTTAGAAGGATAAAGGATGAAGCAGAGCACGAATGAAAACTAAACTGTGGGTGATTTTCTTAGTATTAGAAACAAGTTTGTGAATCATGATGTATCTATTATTGATCTTACATACACTATCTCTGTACATCACAGTTTTCTCTGTCTCTGTTTGTGTTTCTGTGTTTCTCACTTTTTTTGCTCAGACTTTCGCTCTGACTCCATAAGTTTTTTTTCTTTCTCTCTCATTTTCCCTGTCTCTGCTTCTCTATGTCCCCCTTGGAATCCCAATTTTTCTCACCCCCTCTATTACACTCTTTATAACTCTATCTATCTTTCTCTCTCTATCTCACTCCATTGCTCTCTCTCTCTCTCTCTCTCTCTCTCTGTCTCCCATGTCTCTCTCTCTCCCTGTCTAGGCTTCTCTGTCTCTCTCTCTCTCTCTCTCATTATATCTTTCTCTATATATATATATCTCTACGTCCTATTCTCTCCCTCTCCCCACCTCTCACTCATTTTTTCTCTCTCTCTCTCTCTCTTCCTTTATAATTCAATTTTTCCCACTTCCTATCTCCTCCTCTCTCTCTTTCCCTCTCACCCCACATCTGTTCGACCTCCCTTGACTGTTTCCTCCAACTACCTTCAATTGTCATTCGACCGACGCACGCTTTTCTAATTCATCGAATCACTTCATTTTCGAAAAAAAAAAAAAGAAAACAGTTCCATTAATTGTAAATGAAACTAAAAATGCCCTTGACGCTGTTGTCAAATGTTTCCATACACACACACGCACACACACACTCACACACATAGAGAACGCTTATCAGGCTTATGGCCGGCGATGTCACCTCGAACTTTGCTCCATGGTGCAGGTACTTTGCTGCTCCTGCGATTCCACGACAATTCTAATCAGCAAAATGTCGAACTCAGCGCCGCAATCAATATATATTTTTGATTTCCTATATTTTTTTTTTATTTCTTGCCTTTTTTTATTATTTTTGATTATATTCTTGGCCAAACTCAATTTCGTTGAGTTGTCATGCTTAAGAGTTTTTCCCATTTTCCGTCCCGGCCTCTGGTTCGCTTTGATTTATGACATGAAAATGTCACAGCACAAAAATTCTCTTTATGCTCGAGCATTATATATTTTATAGAATTTTTTAAGCGCATTAATATGGATTTATTATAATAGATTGGCTAGATAAGCAGGGCATATTTTCGAATACTCTCGAAAGTGTGAAACGAGAAGGGCAGCCTGAGTTTGGAATTCACTTTGTAACAGAGTGCAGAAAATGGTGGCATGATGAATCGAAAGATGACAAAAGACAACGGTAGAAATAGAACAAATACCCTGTAATTTAAAATGTCCTATACATTATATTTTATTTGACTTTATTAGCTTAGCTGATAAGCGATAAATATCTAAGATAAAATGTTAACAAATATTACTGCATATGAAATAGTGAAAAACAGGGTATTTCATAGTCTAGCATTTTAGTTTTTTTTTCAAAATCTGAAAAATTCTTCGAGAAATGGACTTTAGTGTGTACTTCTCTATGATAGTATTTGACACAAATATAGGGTATGTGCTAGTCGATCTATATTAAGTGGAGTATGTTATTAAAATTTTTCGAATACCCAATGGTCCTCTATATAGCACGATTTTCAAAATTTTTATAGCCTACTTCATATATATTAATATACAGGGTATCTCCCAGTCAACCATACAGCCTCTGCTCTATATTTGTTCAGAACTTTTGGCATTCATTGTGGCATTTCAACGACAAATTTCAAGTTTCAACTGCCTTAAATTAGCTGTGCTACAAAAAGTATCTTATAGATACCATTTCAAACAAATTGTATCTGTCAGATATAATTGTGTATTTTTTTACTTTTTTTTTTCATGGATCTAAGACTTACCATTAATGCCGCTGATCAGTGGATAATTACCATCACGGCCGCCGATTAAGTTTTTTAAGCCAGTTTCGATCAGTGTTGGGGACGATCGCTCCCTGTCGCTCATTTTTTCATAAAAAATTTGTCAATTTTGTGATTATACACGAAATTTTACAAAAACAAGTTTTGTTTTTTTTTTTATATGTTATTTTAGGTAACTTTTGCGTATTATTTTTCGTGTAACTTTTTTATAGATGCTTCTTAATACGACTCACAACAATAATAATAATAATAATTGCTTAGTGTAAAAAACTTTAGTTTTTTACTTTATTTGATTTTGATTTTTTTGCTTTTTATGTTTTTAACTGGATTTTTTTATTTTGTTGTTTGTAGTTGAAATCACAATGTAGAAAAAATGAATGTTTCTTTTTTCAATAATATTTATTTGTATATGCTAAATTCAATATAAATGTTAAATATTGCACGTTAACGTTTCTTTATTGCTTGGCTAAATATGTTTGTTGTTGTTGTTTATGTATATATATTTCTATATAGATATATATATTTTTTATCTTTAAATTTATATTTGTTTGTTTTTAATGTGTATATATATATATAATTATTTATGCTGCTCGCTATAAATAAAGGCACCGCGAATTCATTCAACAATTTGTTTGCGTTATTCTTTTCTTTTTTTATTAATTTATTTATGACTTTCTTCTTGCTCTTCTTCTCCTCTCCTCTTTTTTGGTGTTAACAATAACAGGCGTTTGGCAAATAACAATTAAATAATGTCCATAAAAAATAAAAACACGAAACAAAAAAAGTTTCTTGAAATCTATTTGATGTGAAATTTGTAATTAATTATTTATTTATATTTGTTAAGCGTTTTAGGTGTAATTTGTTGCATTTGCTAATTGCGCTTTTTTGTGTTTTTTTTTTTATTTTTTATTTATATATATTTATTTATTTGTAGCTTGCGTTCTTTCAAATGCCGTTGCGTTTGAATTGAATTTTCTTTCAGTTTTCTTTTTTTATTTTTCCCGTTGACAGTTTCTCATGACGTTGTTGTTGTAGAACGTTTAACGTTGCTGTAGGCTTTTCTTGTTTTATTTTAGCTATATTTTATTTAGCTTTTTTATTATTTTATTTTGTTTTTTTTTTTTTTTTTTTTTTTTTGTGTTGCTGTGGCACTAAAAATAAAATCAATTGCTTTGCTCTTCTTTATTTTTATAGTATTTATTTTTTATTTTCTAGAGATGTGTTCTCTCGTGTTTCTGTTGTTTTATGTAGTTGGTATTTATTGTACAGTTATAAAGCACTAGTATGGCATAGTTAACAAACTTAATAAACAGTTAGGGTTGTGGGCCTTCACGGAAATCAGCGCCCGGCGTGCGACAAGGACAGCAAGTATTCTGTTTGAGCTTTGTCTGATCGAGCTGATGGTGGCGGTCGGTCGCTGGTGGGCGGTGGGTGTAGTATACCTACACTCACACACACGCGCGCACACTAGCTTTAGCACTTTGGCTCTTACACTCAAACACACGCGCGCGCGCGCACACACACACGCAGGCACACGACAGGACACACACACGACGAGCCGAAAATCGATGAGAAATGTTGACAGCTCACCGACGCACACACACTAACACACGCACACGCACGCACACACAGACTAGCAAAAATACACGCTGTATATGCTGTTGTTTTTTTTTTCTGCACGAATTGATTAAGGCGTTGGAAAACGCGCGCGTTTCTTTCGCGATTCGCTAGCTGTTTTGTTTTGTCCTTGTGGTCAAATAATTTGGTGTAGCTGCTTCTATTGGTGTTGTTGTTAGAGCGCGTGGCGTGTATTTGTTTTTTTTTCTTTTTGGTTATTGCTGCTGCTGCTGACGCTGCTGCTGCCGCTGCCTGACGACGACTGTTCGTTTTGTGCGGTCTTCGGGCGTTGTGGGTGTCGTCGACGTAGCCGCTGTCGCTGTCGCTGTCGTTCTGCCGCTGTAGCGCTGCCGCTGCCCGCTGCCTATGCTGACTGAGCGCGCATGTGACAAGAGCGAGACGCACAGTCACACACTCACACACACGCACGCAATTCGACAAATATAAGTGCACTTGGCTAGCGGTTTCGAAGTTCGTTGGGTCGCGTAGGATGCGGAAGCCGTTAAATCTCTACACAAATGAGCGCCGCTTTGACTATAGCTTCCGCTGCAGCTAGGATGCACTCCGGAGAGCGAGAGTGAGAGCGCGTGGTGAGAGAGTGGGCAGAGAGTGCGCACGAGTCAGCTGATTTACCGTATTTATATGTGTGTGAGACTGTTGTGTTTCCTTTTTGCGTTTTTGTTGTGTGTTTTATTCGCCTTGCCAATGCTTGTTGTTGTTGTTGCTAATGCTGCTTGTTGTTGTTGTGGATTTTTGCACTATGAGCGCCCGCACAAATACACATATGAAAAGCTTACACACACACACACCCGCAGAGACAAGCACTGTTGTCGTTGCTGCTGCTGTTGCCGTTGCCGTTTGCTTTGGTTGTCAGGCCAAAAAAAAACTTTTTTTTCGCCTTTTGCTTTTGTTACTAAATGTTCTTATTGGACACACGTGCTTCGTTAGTGGAACTTGATTTAATTTACTTTATTTCATGACTAATTTAGAAACATGTTTTGAATTGTCGTGAGCAATCAATTATTAATGAATACGGTTAATTTTTGCACATAGTTTTAGTTTTTATTTTTTTGCATTGAATATTCTTTGCCAATTTTTGTTGTTTGTATTTAATTTGCGTCCACACGGCTTTGGCTGTTCATCTGACTCTGACTGGGCACACGCGCTCGTTGCAAAGTGTACAAAAATCCGCTCGCTGCCAGCAATGGTAGCAGAGCCAGAGAGCGGCGCTGCTGTTAATGTGTGATTGTGTGTGAGAGAGAGCGCCCAGCGGCTAAGGGCAAGCACAAGCACAAGCACACACTCACACACTCAAATACAAAAACAGCAACAACACGCGTCGTCGGCTATGCTCTGAAACGATACAGACACAGATACGCTACAACTTAGAAGCATGCTGACGCTTTGCCATGTGGCTGCCTCGCATGCTCCCTCTCTTCCAATTTCTTACGCTCTCGGTCTGCTGCTGCTATGGCATTTACTCACCTCTCACGCTCTCACCTCTCACGAGCGCTCAGTGTAGTGGCGCCGCGTGCTGTGCACATTTTGAACTTTTATTTTTGGCAACCATTTTTGTTTTCTCGTCGTTTCGTCGCGCGCGCAACTCAATACACGACGACCGGACCGACCAAGCGGCTGGCAACCGAAGCCGAAGCTTAGCTTAGCTGCCTCGACTCTCCCTCAAGTCGTACTTCGGCAGCTCTCCGATTGAATGTTCTTGTTGTTGTTTCTAATTGGTTCCATTTGCTCTTTGGGCTTTGGGCATTTTCCACTGTCTCAAAGTTCAATTTGATATTTAGTGTGCGCGGCGCTCTCAAATGCTCGCCACCTTTCTCTCTGTCTCTCGCTCGCTCGCTGTGTATGTGTGTGTCTGTGTGTGTGTTGTCTCTCTTTGAGATCGCAGCCGGCACTCGTTCTGCCTGGCATTTTATTTATTTGTGTTATTTTAATTTACTCTGCTCGTACTATAGTTTTGCTATTACGTCAATGCGACGGCGGCGCTGACGTTTGTCTTTCCATCTGTATGTGTGTGTGTGCGAGTGCATTTGTAACTGTATAAGTAGTATCTGTGTGTGTTTTGGGCACTGCGGCAAGCGGCATTTGCTGTTCATTTCAATGTTTTTAGGTTTTTCTCTGATTTATCTGCCATACACGCGGTATAGTTTTTTTCTGCCTTCTTTTTGTTGTTATTATTTCTAATATTTGTATTTGTGTGGCTGCTGCTCAGCGACTGCGACTGCGACGCTGACGTCGCTGTAGCAGCGCTCACGTGAGTCGTTTTCATAGCTACAAAACTTTAAATGTGTGGAAATTTTTGTTGTTTTTGTTGTTGTTGTTTTTTTTTTTTTTTAATTTGTATGATTTCGTTTGCATTTTGTTGTAATTTTGTATAAATAAATATACAACAGCAACACACCACGATTGTCAGCAGCAGAAGCAACCCCTATCCCTCCATCCTCTGATCTACCATATCCCGCCTACATCGCTCACACCCTTCATATATCAACCATATAAATATGTTTTGTGCAATTTGCCAACTGAAATTGAATTTGCAATTCACGAATTGACAAAACGCGTGCAATTAGAGCTGTTGCTGTGCGAGTGGGCGTGGCCGTACCCATCAGCTCTTGTTAAGCCGCTAATGAGCAGACGAAGGGAGGATAGAAAGTAGGCGGGGCATGGCTCCATATCAAGTCAGCGAACATTTGTCGCAATCTTTATGTATATACATATGTACATATAAATAGATAGATCTGATAGCTTTTGCTTCGTCATGGGTAGCCATAAAGCAAGTGAGGCTAGGACGTCATTTCAGATAAGCACATATTATAGATTAAAGATATGCCCAGTATATTACAAATTAACCAAAATTTCAAGTGTGGGTGAGTAACAGTAAGTAGAGCAGGGGCTTAAGTACATAGATATATGTACATATGTAGTACGTTGATAATGTGAACAGATATAGCTATTACCTATCAAATAATTGTCTGTCCAAAAAATTTCCAAGTCTTTCATAATGTCGAAATTGTTAGGGAACTTGTGGAAAAATAATTAATTAAAATAAAAAAAAAATAATTAAAATAATAACTAATTTTTATATTCTTAGGAGATTATAAATTTAAGGTATAGTTATTAAATGATTTTTTGTAGGCAGGACAGATTAATTAATCCAGTCTTATCAGCGCATAGATCATACAATTTAATTTTATTTATAAATTAAATTTTATATTTTATTTCATTTATCAATATATTTAATCTTCTGTTTCATATCTGGTTCTTATCTAATTAAGCAACCCTTGTTAATGAGCATTCCAAAATTTTGAAATTAATGTGAACTGATCGTTCAGTTAGATGAGAATTTCAACCTTCAACTCGATCAACTACTACAAAGCGCACTAAATATAAAACGTATTTGCTCGAAATTATCTATTCGTATGATTTTTAGCTATTTTGGTTTCTGCCGCTGACTCATTCCACACAAACAGACAGGGACACACACACGCACAACCCGAAATATGCACAACTTAATACCCAAAATGTTGAGAGAGAAGAATATATAGAACTGTCCGGCTGTCCGCCTGTCATCATGTGACATTCTCTGTGAATGAAGGCAACTAGGAAATGGAATTGAAAATGGCAGCAACAGGAGGCAAAGGAGGTCGCTTTCAATATATCAGACATAGAGACAAGTTATATATACTATATATATGTATGTACATATATATATCCACTATATAGTCGTACAGCCAAAACGTGTTCAAGCGCAATAAATTATAAATGAGCCTCGAAGCGACGCAACTTTTGACTGTGCCCCATAGCCTCGTGGCAACCCCTGCCTGCGCCTTTGCCTTTTGCCACCTTTTCAAGAAGATCCAACAAAAGAATGACATCTCTATCTTTCACTCTCTCTGCGCTTGTGTGTGTGTGTGTATGGAACCAGCAACAGCATTGCTTGACAAGATATTATATACGTAGAAAGATACATGAACTATACATAGTACAAACATATCTATGTCTGTGCATATCTTAGAATTCTTTGTATCTATGTATCTATGTTTGATTGTTGCTGTGTATCTTTGTAACTATGTAAATCTTTGTAGCTATGTATCTAGAAAACTTTGTATCTTTGTTACTTTGTAGCCCAGCAAACTTTTATCTTCGTATCTTTACAACGTTGAAGACTTGTATATCTGTATCTTCGTATCTTTATATCGTATCTGTGTATCTATGTCACTCTGTATCTTTATCACTTTGTAATTGTGTATCCTAAGAACATTTGTATCTCTCATATATACATATATATTGTATTGCAGCATTCTATTTTTGCATTTAGGGATATTTGCACTTTTGTATCTATGTAGCTATGTATCTATATGTCTATATATCTATGTATCTATGATATACCTATGTATATGAGATACAAATTTAACTATGTATCTATAAGATACAAATGTATCTATATATATATGTATCTATGTATCTATGTATCTATGTATCTATGTATCTATGTATCTATGTATCTATGTATCTATGTATCTATGTATCTATGTATCTATGTATCTATGTATCTATGTATCTATGTATCTATGTATCTATGTATCTATGTATCTATGTGTCTATGTATCTTTGTATCTTTGTATCTATGTATCTGTGTATCTATATGTCTATGTATCTATGCATCTATGTATCTATGTATTTACGAGATACATATGTATCAATGTATCTACGAGTATCGCAGTATATTTTCATAATATGATACATAGTAAAGGAATTCACTTACTATATACAGTACAATCAATATCTTTGTATCCTTGAATCTATTTCTTGACAAGATCTTATACAGAAACTAGAAGAGACAACTAGTGCAATACACAACTATATATATATATATATATATATATATATATATATATATATATATATATATATATATATATGTAACTTTGTATTGATAGCTATACTATATTATAGTACTACTCACAAACATATATATGTCTTTGTATTTATGGATCTATATTTGTATATATCTTGACAAAATATTACATAGAAGAACAAGCCAAAAAAATACTTGAGCAATGTAAGGTACAAACATCTACAGCTACAGCTACATATATAGATATTTGTGTATTTGTATCTATATCTCTGCATGTACTAGCTTAGCATTGTGGGAGATGAACGCCCGTCAACAATGTAGCTCTTGTCAAGGAACTATTCAGTCCGCTAGAGATACACCCACATCCACACACCCACACACACATGCATGCATATACAGTTGGAACTTATTTGCTTTGGCATTTGGTATGTCGCAGCCAAAAGAAAATGTATTTGGACAACAACAAATTCTTCATTCCGTTCGGCTAAGCTCTTTTCTTTTTTTAGCAAATATTGTGCCTCTTATCAGACCAACTCGCTTGCATATCACTAAATAAACATGCGCTGAACACGACAGCCCAAAAAAAAAATAAAATAAAGAAAAAATAAAATAAAAACGTGTTTTTTTATTTAATTTAGTTTTTTGTTGAGTTTACCTTTAAAACGCACATCATGCGTTTTTTTCGGTCTGGCTTCTTATCAAAATCATCAAAAGAATAAAAAAAATGAGGGAAACAAATAATACAAAATTGCCTTGACTACGGGCATTTGGGCAAGCCTTGGACAGTTGCTCTTCCTAGTCTCACAATCTTTGAAAATAATATTTTACTATATATAGATGAAGGAACCTTTAGAAATAGAACAAAGTTCAAATGCGGTGTAATTAAGATCACATTTAGAACTTTGGGTGCTGTTAGTTTTAAACGTCTAGACATGTGTAGGCAGGAGCCATTGGAAATGGAACACCGTTTGAATAAGACTCTTTATGTTGCGTCATCGTGATAGGTGCCGATTGCTAGCAAGTATTTTGTATTAGATTTTCAAGTAGTTCTACATATATTTCTAGTCTCTATAAAATCATAAAACTATAAACTGTGTACTCAGAAAGTATAAAATCTAGATTTGGAGAGAGATCCATAAGTGTTATAGATATATCAAGAAAATTTTCCAACACACAACTCAATTTGTGATCAATTAACTCTACTTTTGCATTTACTTCCTTACTGTACATCATTTTAATACCACACAATGTTATCTATTTGTGTTATACCCAAGTCTCGAATGGGCAAAGAAATTAACACAAAGCTGTCAGGTTAGCTAAACTCCTTTCCTATATAAACACACACACACACAGTCACATATCTGATGCATTTGTTGGACTCTCTGTTTGCTTCTCTAATTTGCCACTGAGATTACAAACGTTCGTTCGCTCCGAGTGGCCTATTATCAGCTTTACCTATGTATTTATATATATATATATGTGTGTATATATAAATCTGAACTACATTTTGCTCGATTTGAAATCTCGCACATTTATACGTAAAAGCAGCAACAATTTGTAGACGATGAAGGCAACTACAAATTAACGTACAAATGAATGACGGAATTAGTACGTAGTATACGGGTCTATAGAGAAGGCCCCCCCGATACACACAGACACACGCACACACGCATACACACGGAAAGTGATCTTAAAGGGAACAATTGACTTGATGCTGCGCTTATTAGATCAATCAGTTTATGTACCCGCTTTAGATCTTCACAGTCCAGTTTTGTATTTGTCTAATTCATTAGCGCAGCTCTAATGAATTAATAACACCAAGCTACGAGAAACGCGTTTTGTTCATAGTTTTTCCATTTTTTAGCACATTCGGTTTTTAAAGCATATTTCAAATGACATTGCATCAGCTTTTAGAATCGAATCTATAGCACTTGAGTGCTGTTCAAAGTATCTCGTTTCGACATTTTATTGCTGTTCGATTGTTTCTTCATTAGGAATCGAAAGTAATTTTTGTATTTTATGATTATTTAATATGGAAACGGAATGATTTCCTAATGCTTAAAGTACAAAGCAGTATACACTGAGCGAAAAAAATGTGTACAAAGAGTATATAAATACAATATACATTGCCATATAATAATAGAAGATTATGCAAGCTTAACTTAATGATATTTCTGATGAGAAATAATTACAAGTTTCGACTAGGGACGTAACTTTGGTATGCATAACTCAACTGAATTATTAATGCTTGAAGCTCTATCTATATGTCTTTCCTGTTTCGCGCCACGCCTTTGACACACAAAATACGCCCTAATTGTAAGGCAAACAAAAGCAATTTTCAATTTCCTTAAGGAAAATGCCAAAAGCACAAAAGTTTGAGCAACATTTATAATACTAGTTGCACTACAAATGCAAACAAGACACACATACACGCACACATGCACACATGTGTATGCACACCCTGTAGAGCATGTCACGTGCACTAAAAAGAGCTTCT